AAACTAAATATCAAGGTTTGTTAAAATATCCGTGAATTTTAAATTAGCTGTATTAAAAAGTTTTATATCTGTCCACTTTCAGACCAGTCTCACAGTTCCAGTCAGAAGTTTACATCCACTCATCGTAAGCTTGAATGTCATATTAATGATGGAGCAACCATTGTGGATGCAGAAATATGACTTCCTGTAAATAAGGACATTCTCCTATGTACTCTGGACTGGAGATCTGCAACTGCGAATAAACTGCCACAGGAGACAGTTATCTTGTTCTTGATTCCACCTTTATTGCAGCAAGCTTCTGCCACAATGTCTGGATATTTGACCACTTATCTTGGTGGAATTGGTAGAGTTTATTTTAATTGGTTGGTTTCCTGACACATACAGGCTTTTAAACAGTTTACAAATGTTCAACAGGGTTAGGGTCATGGTTTTGTGAAGGCCTGTTTCATTCATTCAGAAACCAGTTCTCAACCCAACAGTGTCCAAATGTCATGGAGGTAGTCCCCCTTCTCAGTGTAACGAGCCACAGCATGTTGCTACCATCGCTGTGCTTAACCGTTCGTACAGTGTGTTTAGGTTTGGAAAGCCTCACCTGGATTACCTTAAACATATTTCTTTTTGTCCCGTCTTTGTCTCATCTGACCATAAAACGTTTCTCCAGACAGACACTGATGTTCCAGTTCATGTCTTGTTTGAGCCTTGATGGTTCCTTGGTTGTTCCACTGATTCATTGCCTCCTGTTGTTCTTTACATGTATGTACCACCTGCTCAATCTATAGACTGTAAGGGTCTGCTCTGCTGGGTGTATTGTGAAGAAAAAAAAAGACTTGAGTGTTGTTGAGTGAACAGCATTGATTGTTTATCTGTGATGAAATGTTGGTAGTTTTCACAGCTTGCTCCTACGTGGCATTCAAGAACACTTGATTTACCTAAAACTTTTATCTCCCCGGAACTGCTGACTCAGAATATTTCCTTTTGTTGAGGAACATTCTGACTTGCAAATTAGATACCCACTTTTACTTTTCTGCTTGACAAAACATACACTTCAGCAACATTTTACACTGCAGAGTATTTTTTCTGTATAGCAAGAGAACTGGTGGGGGAGTGTGTTTAGTCTTTGTCTCATGTACAAAGGAAGATTGGTAAAGTGCTTAAGGCAAGCAGAAAAAGTAGTCTCATTTGCATAATCCTATAAATGAAGCAAAAGTGCAAATTTAACTTCAGATAATAAAGGAAGACATGGTGTATTTTTTGTAGGCTGATTCTGATTTCTAATTTTTGTAAAGCTCTGACCTGCAGATTATGATTTTGGGCCATTTTGATTTTTCTCTAAGAACTGTAATTAACAAATTGTAAGTTTGATTACTAATTTCTGGTAGGATGCATTTTTTATTTAGTGTTCACAATAACATTTTAGCAGCAAAAATAAAATATCCCAAAGATGCAGAGCTGCTTATCTCTGTCACTGAAAATTGCAGATAATATCCTCCTGGTTAATGAAAAAGGTATTTGCACAAATAAAATAAAAGCGTTTTCTTCAAAACCCAGATTACTGTGTCTAAACATTTTTATCTTTGACTGCACACATTTGAAATACAAACGTGTGCCTGAAATACAGAAACATTTTTATTTGTACAAGACTTGAACCTAAAATATGTTGCACCAACCACCAACATGACATTTGGGGAAAATACTGTTTGGTTTAATGGATTGTTAAATCAATAACTTATTTTTTGAGCCTGAGCTAGATATTCATAACATTTAAACTAATAAAGTTGTATTTACGTTTGTCAACCTACTTTTAAATTATGGTTCCAACACAAAGATTTGGACTTCAATATGTTGCCTATGCATCAATTTAGCAGACACACCTCTGTAGAAAATCCTCTTTCCTTTTTGTAGCCTCTCACACATCTTGTGCTTTCTCTGATTTCATTTTAAACACCTAACAGATCTTACAAATAATCAACTGAGTCTTCATTCAGGAAAATATTCATCACCTAGCTAACTGTTGCTAACTCAGTTTAGTTCAGTGGTGGGCAATCCTGGTCCACGATGGCCACAGCCCTGCATGTTCTTGTTTGCCTGCTCCAACACAGCTGATTCAGTCATTGAATTACCTATTCTAAGATCTGCAGAAGCCTGATAATCACCCATTCATTCAAATTAGGTGTGTTGGAGCAGAGAAACAAGTAAAACATGCAGGACTGTGGCCCTCACTGCCCACCCCTAGCTGCTTAGACATGGTGTGTTTACAGCAGGAACAAACTGGATCTTTTGATGTGTTACATACTTTTTTTGTTTGTTTTGTTTTGTTTATTGATTAATGGTACCTGCGGAAAATTAACCGGTGAGAGGGGAGGAGCCGACTCCACCTCTTATAATGAGGGTTGGTGATGTACCTGGGGTGGTGGTGGGTGGCGGCACAGAAAACCAGTGGTGTGGAGTGTGTGTGTGTGTGTGTGTGTGTGTGTGTGTGTGT